AAGCAAAAGAATCGTTGCCTGAAAGGATGAGGACACCACGGCCATACAATGTCGACGGTCATCAACTGTTCTGCCAGCCAAAACAACGCCGCGTGCGCGCTAAAACCGGCGCGCGGGACAGAAATCCCGCAGACGCACACACGAAGATGGGCCGGTTTCGTTAGGGATGTGGGGAAATTGGAAACCAGCCATCCGTGCATGCGTGAAACGATACCGCCTGTTTGCCCTAGCTTCGAGCGCCCTATCCTTACCTTGAAACGGCCGTGCTCTCTCTCTCTCTCCGGTGAGATCCGATAGCACCGAAGGGTTATCTATTAAACTTGAGGAAGAAAACGAGAAGGGGGGGGGGGGGGGGGGGGGGGCTGTTTAAGTTTAATTATCCCCACCAACCCACTCGTTCTGTCCGTATAAAGGGTTATCTCTTTTCGAAACACCAAAGCCCGGAGACTGACATTAAAACGAGCGTGTTGGTAAATATACTTGTGTTTGTATTCTGCCCGGAGACTAGTTGGGTCGAAGTCAGCCTCCTTGTCAACTATAGCCGTTTATGAAGAGTGGGCTTCTCCCGAGATGAAACGTTAGCGGCGGCTGACGTGTTCTTTTGAAAAAGGGAAGGGGAAAGAGAAAGTTTGAGTAACCGCAGAAACTACCTCGAAAGCTCCTCTCCCGATATGAAGCTTGAAGCATAGTCTCGGTTACCTTCTCGCGCATCGCCTGCTCGAATCTATTCTTCACTTTCTTTCGTACAGCCACTGTTCCGCACAGCCGTCGTGGCTGTACGTAATAGAGGGAGGAACAGATTCGAGCATCATCTAAACGCCGTCATCCTGCCAGACTTCAATGTCGTGGGACCGACTCGTGTGTGTTTCTTCGCCCCGCTGAACTTTGTTTCTCGGGTGCCGTTTTTTCTGAACGCTTTTTTTTTTTGTTTTTTTTTTCAATGTTTTCTTACTAACTGTTTGTTAGCACTGTTCAGTTGTTGTGTTTATTTCGTCATGGCGTAGCGGCCTGGCGGTGATGTAGAGAGCGTGTTCGCACGCATTTGGTTGCGTCCCGTTTAGGGAATGCCCGGGGGAGTTGGTTTTTGTTCTTGCCATGTGCGGCTGAGTTTTCCCGTCTTTATTAAATTATTGATTTTGTTTTTGTTTTACCTTTACGTGCCGTCGACTTCTTTGTCTGACTTTCCACCAGGCGTGGACCTATCGCCTTGCCACCGCTCGTACCTAAATACTTTTTTTTTAACGCACTTTTTGTTAAGATCGGGGTTGGGCAATTTAATTCCTATTTATTTATTTTTATTTCCTGCCCCTCTCCATGACACACTCTCTGTGTGTTTCGGAATGTTTCTGTGTCACCACTTTTGTGTATTACGGAAGTGAAAGGACATTCCCCAGTGTTTGGTTTCGTAAAGAACTTTGTATAAAATATATCGACGATGTGGTGACTTTCTTTGTCTTAGTAATATGACAGCTAATAGCTGGTCGTGCTAGTTTATTTTGAAAGGTTTATAAATCGAAACAATACAACGTCTGTGCCTTTTGGTTATTGAAAGTCTACTCGGCCTGCTGATTTGGTTAGATACGTATCTCATGGTTCCCGCTCTTATCAAAACATACATAAATATTCAATACCACAAAATCCGTATATAATTGATTACAAAATGCAGAAGAGAATTCAAGAAAACTTTTTCACAATTCATAGAGACGCATGGGTCGCTATGTCTGACTTAGGTCTTGCAAACCAAAGACGTCTTTTTTCGATATTGAGGCCTAAATATAAAACATGCAAACAAAATATACACTTTCTAGGCTTGATTTTCGTGTAGACAACTATCATATCTACATTTCAACAAAAAATAAAAAAAAATAAAAAATGGGTTTTTTGAGAAAATCAATTTCAAAAATGGTACTTTTTGTTTTTTTGCATAATATTAACGTAAACGTACCGCAAAGGATAACTTATACAGCCGAGGCATTTTATAATAAATATAAAGAGCGTGTTTTGGGCTCTTCATGGACATAAAAAATATTGGTGTAACCCAAATAGATCGCCAGTAATTAATTGGCAAAGTTCGTCAACAATTGACCGAGGAGGCGTTTTTGACATTTTTACAGAAAAAAAGCAAAACGCCTAAAATTATTTCATGGTATTGGAGCCTTTTAAATGTGTCCACAGAGTGCTTCAAAAAAGATAATATATTGTGGACTGAAAATCCATGGCGGGAGATCAAGCGAAACATCCGACCCACGACGGGTGTGAAAAACACTGCTTTTCGCCGCGGCCTCTTTAAAAATTCATAAGTCGAGAACAAAAAATCCGACGAACTTGCGGTTTGTGTCGACTGCGGTTTTAGAAACGGCACCATAACATATATTTTTTTCATCAAAATTAAAAATTCGACCCTTTTTGCCTGCACGATTTGAGATGAAACCACCCATATATATATATATATATATATATATATATATATATATATATATATATATATTGTGGTTGAATTTGAGCTAGTTGTTAAACCGTAGTTAAACAACTACGGTTTAACAACCACTGAAGGTATCTTCCACGTCACTGAAGGCATCTTGCACGTTTCCCGCAATGTCTAAAACCGTGACGAATTACCGATTGAAAACCACTAGCGCCCCTCCTCTTTGACGTATTGCAGCTCTATCTCACGACCGGCATTGTGATTCGTGAAGTGCCTCCCACACATCCCTCATCTCCGCCGCTTCGCCAAGGAAGAAGCGAGAGCAGGAAGAGGGGTAGTTTAAATTCTACTCCCGACCGTCACACTCCAAACTAAAGAGGCGGGCACCATAGCGGAGGAGCACCCGCGTTGCTTTCTCTTTTGTCCTTCTTTACTCCCCCCTCCCTCTCTCCCTCGTTTTCTGCTCAAGCTGTCAGTCGCCGTGGGGGCGGCGAGTCGAGTCGGGACTCTCGGAGCGCCTTCCTTTTTTCTTCCTTTCGATCCCGCGAAGAAGGGAGACTACGACGAACGGACCGCTTCTGCCGTCTGCTACCCCCCCCCACCCCCCCCCCCCCCCTCCCTCCCTCCCTCCCTCCCTTCTGCAGCTCTCTCGACGTCGTCCCTGTTTACACACATCCTCGGCTCGTTGTTGTTGTTATTGGCTTTTGTTTTTTTCCCGTTACGTCTCCCTCCCCCGACTTTCCGCTCCTTTTTGCCTCGCTGGTTTCGATTTTATGTGTTTCTCCTTATCGCGTGCCCCCCTCCCCTCCCGCTTGTTCCTCCTCCTCGTCTCCCGAAGGGAGCTTTTCGGAAATGATAAATCTCCCTCTCTTTCACTCTCTCGTCGCTGTTCGTTTCTTCTTTATGTTTGTGCGTGTGTGTCTTGGGTTTCTACCTCGTGTAGCGAGTCGACCGTCTCCCATCCTTTTCGGCTCGAGAGGACACGGAGTGCAAGGAAAAGCAAATAAAAACAAAACGGTCGCTTTCTGTTCGGATAGAGAGAGAGAGAATGGTGGGGGAGGGGATGATGGCGTCGAGCAACGTCGAGTCGTTGTGGAAAGGGGGGGGGGGGGGGGGGGGGGAGTAGAGAGAGGGAAGAGGAGGAGGGAGCTCTGGTTTCGACAATATTTGTTCAGGGCGCGGTCGGCCGGTCGTGAGGAGAGGATATGAACACGCCAAAGAAAGAAAGAAGCGCAAATGCGTCTGCTGCGCGAAGGACGCCGTGGGAGTAAATATGCGTGCCTTGGGATCTGTAGCAGACGAAAATATATACACACGGGAGGAGGGGAGAGAGCTTTGCCGGCTGTGTGTGTATGTGGCGCGGGTGAGGAAATAACAGTAAAAGAAAACCAGCGTGGGTTCCTGAAAGTATGCATGATGCATGCAGGGGGAGAAGGAGGTGATGAATTACCCTGCTAAACCCTCCCAATGGTTTAGCAGAATGGGAGACTGATTTTCGTGATAAGCATCCTTTCTGTAGATGGGTTCTCTGGATCATTTACAGGTGGTGGAAGAACCAATTGCGCGGTTGGTGTGGCGGGGCGGTGCCACTGGTTAAAGTTATACCTCATGTTGTGTTTTTGAATATCAGTGGATGGATATCCACAGGCTTCTGCATTGACACCTACGGATGCAGATTAAAGTGAATTAAATTCTGTGGATAGTGAATCAGGATGCTAACGTCGTGTGCCACTGGCACACATTGGGTGTGGTATCCAGAGGGGTGTGTGAAATGCTTTAATTGCACAAGCCTGCGGTTCCTGAAGCTAAACCTGCCTGATATCCTCATGGCTAAGTTCCTTAAGCAGCCAGTACTTTCCTGACTGCTCTGAAGGCAAACATTTTTTTGGTTCAATTATTTTGTCGAATTGTGTTGAGGCTCCGTGAAGCTCTGCAGAGTATGCCCAGATACACTGCCCTGTTCACAGGTTGGGGCATTTCGATGGGTCTGTTGTTCCCACTTGGTGATCTTTGGGCAGTTGCTAAACCTTTCGTCCAGACTTTAGTCTGGCTTGCATTGTGCTTCTGGCCACAAATAAGCTTAACATCAGTGTTTTCATGCGATGATGTAAAAGGTAGAGGCAACAAGTATGCAACATTGGGAAAGTTTTTTTTTTTTTTTTTCACAAGTACATATACTACTACTCCCAGAAACACTCCTCAAACTTGAAACATACAAAAAAAAAAAAAAAAAAAAAAAGGTGGATTCCGAGTTGGTTGCAGATGCAACTATAGATGGAGTTTGTGGGTGCAGATTTGATGCTGGTACATAGTCAGATATATTGAAATCACTCTGCACTGGGCTTGATATATGATCAAACTATGTTATTTCTTCTTTTCCAAAGATTTTTTTTTCTTTTTTTTAGTTTTAGAGTATGGGAGTTATATAAAGCCATTTAAACTATAGAATTGGGGCACACTGTCACCAGACATTATAAATTTTGGCGTCTACTTCTGGCTTGAACAGTGCCCGGGCATTTCCTCACAGCTTCTATGTTTTACACATGCCCGCTCATTGTGCTCTTCTCCTTTCCAGAGAAATTCCATATCTCCTGGAGAGCGGGAGAAATTTCGGAGTCGTTCCCCGGACATCGAACATGAACTGAAGAAGCGGAAGAAAGAGGAGAAGGTGAGCCACATTGTAACCATTCATTAAAGAAATTGCCGTAGGTGTGGGTCACCTGCGAGCAGGCATAATGTGCAGGGAACTGCTACGCGCATGCTATAAATAGGAATGAGTTGAACCAGTTAATTATTTAAGTTATGGTGTATTTAGTTAGTCTATGAATTCAAAACTTGTTTTGTAGACATACGTCATTGGTGAATTCACTGCTGAAAATTCTAGAAATCAAAAAGAAGAATCAAAAGTGACTTATGTGCCACTGAAAATGAACTAACATAGTCTAGCTTTGTTTCAAATGACGCTGCTCCAAAGAAGTTAGGTCCTGCGACAAACGCAGTTGAATTTAATGCACAAGGTTGGTTTAGCTCGACTGGTAACTGTTTATAAAGCAGCAGAAGAGAAAATAACAATGCGTATGGAAGCTTTTGACAGGCTCTACCAGCATGGGTCAACCCTAGTCGGGAATGCAGTACCATTGTTCCTTGAAGGTAATCAGATATCCTACACAATGAGTTTGACAGATAGAGATGCTGGAAAGAGGGAGAGGTTTGCCTGAACCAGTTGTTCTAGCGGGCTACTCTGTACTGAGGGTAGGGGAACAGGGATTTAAAGAAAAGGAAGAAAGCAACGACAAAAATGAAAAGGAAGGATATCGGTGACGATCGGATCAGCAATAGTGCAGGAGTTCGGATTTCACTTTTGGTCACTCTGGGACTGATAGTGTTTTAAGCCTTAAAGTCAGTCTAATACTTAGAAAAACTAGGAGAGCCCTTGAAGCTTAAATGTAAATTTTTTTCTTTTTCCCTTGAAGCTTTGGCAGCATTGGTTCTTGATAAGAATAATAAGAATAATCTTATTTGACATGAAAATACATATAGAAATGAGCTGGCCCACGACAGCACAATCGCTTGTAAAGCAAAATGCTTGTAGACCATGACCGAAGGACTTTTTCCAGGCTGAATGGTCGGTCGTCAAATGTTGCCAGTTTGCGTTTCTGTCTCAAATGAAGAATGCATGGGAGGACAGTTGTGTGCAGGACTCGATTTCATTTGACGGCCTTGACATTGGTGGTGACCGATTTTTGGTATGGGTTAGGAGTAGTGAGCGTTCCTCAGTACACAACATCCATATTCTGCTCTTTGTTCTTGCAGGACAGTGATGGGGAGAAGAGCGACCAGGAGTTGGTCGTCGACGTTGCCAACGAGGTAAGTCTGCTGATTTATTTATTTATCTAAAAATACTACCAGCTCCACAGGAGTGGTTTCAAAATTAATGAAGGGGAAATGCAGTGGCACACCAAAAGAAAGCTAGCTAAAGTGCAACACAATAGCCTCTACAAAATGATCAAAAGTCGCTAGTATGACAATATAATTCGTTAAGTTCTGAAGACCTACCGCCCATACTTTTGGAATGAGTGATAGGCTTTTTGAGAGTCTTGAAGAAAAAGTGTAAGACATTGGACCCAAACCAGAGGTCAAAATATCTGGCAGAAAACTTGGTAATCATTGAGGAATTTACCTACTAGGCGCTGCTAGAGTACTGGAAATTGATGAATAAGTGTTACTTTATTACTTGCTTTTTTGTGGCATTCATAATAATAAGATAAAGAAAAAAATGTTTTAATGTACTAGTACTTCTTTCCGTAAATCAAGAAATGAAGGCATTTTGAGGAATTTCATGTGTTGTAATACACAATCATTGTCAATAAACGTTTTTTTATCTGAAGCACCTTGAAGAACGGTTTACGGTTCTGAGAATCTGTGAATGGTCCCTGATTAGTAAGTCATAACTTGTGTGCATTACCTATTAGTGTGGGTTATATGCCAAGTAGTTGCTTTGGTTGTGGAAATATGTGAATATTGCCACGCGCAGGGCCAAGCAAGTAACACTCGGTCACAAACTTCTAGAAGATTCATGTTCATTCTTACTCGGGACGTAACTTTTATCATTTCGTCCTACTTCTTTGCCTGTACGACTGGGGAGGCCCACAGGCTGCTTGAATGCTAACTGATGTCGTCGTTGAGCATTTCTTGCACTTGTTCATAAATGACCTCTCTTTCTTTCGGGAAGACAGGCAGCACATCGTCCTTGGTAACGATGCAATGCTTCGCAACTGTTGTGTGGCGCAATTTCAATGTCATCGCAAAACAGTCGCTGAATTTGGCAAGGAGGCCTCCTAGCTGTCGTCGTTCCGTGGCATTGAGCTAGGGGTTAGCGTCCGGCTGCGGCGACAGTGTACCATATGGCTGAGATGACAAGGGCTCGTCAGAGATCGCAGCGATTTCGGCGGTGTTCTGGAGTCACTTGACGTGGCCTACAGCGGCACCTTTCGTGAGGTGCTGAGCCTTTGCTGTGCCTTCTGTCGAAAGTTCATCACCAGGACCACAGTGTGTCCATCCTACAGGTCTGTTACACTCCTTACGACGCCTATTCCTCTTTCGAGAAGCAGTTGGACATTGCTTTCCGGAAGAACTTCCTCGCTGGCGACTGCATTGGTCACGACGGGCACAAGAACACTCGATCGCTGCGGCAGGTTCACATGGTCCGCAATGACACGGATGGCGGCTGGCATCGTTTTGGATCCCTCCGGAAGTAGGATGGGCTTTCGCAGCGTCAACCTGTTCGCTTTAAGGTCGATCACAGCATACCGCCCACAGACCAGTGGGCTGACTGAGCGACTAAACAAGGCCATCGCCGATGTGACCTCAATGTATATGGACGTGGAACACAAGACGTGGGATGAGGTGTTGCCCTACGTCACATTTGCATACAACATGGTGGTTCGAGAGACCACTGGGATTACACCCTTTAAGCTGGTGCACGGCAGAAAGGTGACGACGATGCTCGACGCCATGCTGCCCCACGACTAGATGGACGACGGCACCAACAACGCCCAGCTGATCACCCGGCGGGCAAAAGAGGTACACCAGCTAGCCCACGTTCGGATAAAGGACCAACAACATGTCAATGCTGGCCAATACAACCTTCATTGTCGCAACGTGGAGTTCCAGCTTGAAGACAGGGTGTGGGTGTGGACGCCCATTCGCCGCCACGGACTCAGCGAGGAACTGTTAAAACGCTACTTTGGACCCTACAAGGCCATTCACCGCCTTGGAGACTCGAGCTGCGAGTTACTGCCCGGCGAAACCCGACTATTGGGACGCCGCCAGCCACGACCCGAAGTGGTCCACGTCATTTGACTCAAGCCCTTCTACTCTGACCCCCCCCCCCCCCCCCCCACCCCCTCCCCCTCCCCCTCCCTAAAACAAAAAATTTCCTGGTTATGCCTTTGCTGCATTGTGCACCTTGGCAAGCAGTCATGTGCACTGGCTAAATTTCTCATGTGGGTAACTATGTCGTCCCGCTTTGACAGCCTAAACTCCCACTGTCTGAACAAATAATGACTAATCTTGATAGTGCTGCGTCTGTGTGTGCTTCCACTTGTCCTTGTGTTCCTCTTGCACCGTTTCCTTTACTCTGTCCCCCCTGTCGGGCAGGACTCTGTGGGGGCCCCCAATGGGGCGCTGTCCCCCCGGGAGAACGGGACGGACAAGGTGCTGAAGAAGGAGCCCCACGGGTCCCCGCACAGCAGCATCTCGTCCAACTCGAGCACGCCGTCCTCCAAGCACAAGGAGAGCGACAAGGCGAGCACCCCCGTGCCCAAGGCTGCCACCCCGACCAGCTCGGGGTCCCAGGCCGGCTCCTCCGGGCTCAAGTCCAAGGGGGGGCCTTCCCTGGGTAAGTGCAGGGACGCTGCCAGAGTATTGCTAACAATGCCATTTTTAACGCGGAATATGTTTTATCAGCCGATTTTCATGGAGTTCTATTACGACCGGCTTTAGCGGATCGCTGTAACGAAAAACCGATGTCGAAAATATTACGCCCACAGGGAACCATATACTTAAAGGGACACTGACAGGATATTTATGCTCGCCAAGGTTTTTATTTGCACATGATGCATGAGAGCCCAACTACCCAGGAGACAATCTGCGGCTCGAAATTCGTTTTCTTTCCAGCCGAAAGCCGCCGATCGAGAACTGGCCGGTTTGCGTCGCACTCACTCTCTTCTCCGTGGTCATGTGCCATTTTCTGTGGTTTAGACACAACCACCAAGGATGATCAAGGTCGTGGGTCATTGAAGGCACACAGTCAATGCTAAAAATAGACAAAAAATATGATGCTCATTTTTTTGTGGCTTCAAAAAGCTGCAAATACTTTCATTGAAAAAAAAAAAATGAAGTTGCACAGCCATGTGACTTCCGGTAACTTTCTCCTCCTCTGCACCTCTTCTTCCTCCACAGTCCAGTTTCGGTTTCAAGCAGTTTCGTTCTTTACTTTATTGTGACGCTGTATCAAAATATTGATTGGGTAATCTTACCCAATCAATATTTGCCAGGGGATCCAGGGATCCCCTGGCAAAAAATAAGGATTTTTTTTTTGGGGGGGGGGGGGGGGGGGGTCTTAGTGTCCCTTTAAAAGACTTCAGTCCCCGGCAGGATTTGAACTTGCCACCTCGATATTGTGAGCCGACCAAGCTAACCAGGGCCGGTGGTTGGTTCACGCAAGAGCAAAGTCTTTGGTGCAGTGCACGAAGGAGCGGTCGCACGCTATGCCCTTCTCTTCTTCCTTGGAAGGCCTATCACACATTCTGCCCTCACCCACCTCTGTCAGCATGATCGAGCTGTATGTTCTACCTTCTACACACGATTTAAAGGAGCTGTGCAATGATTTCAGTGCTTTTCTTAAATAATTGTGGGAGTCGGTGTTTCGACTGTTCTGAAGTAAAGAACAAAAAATTGCTTTTGCCTGCATGTCCTAGTTTTTATTAAAAATAATGACAAAGATTGAAGTTTTTGGCACCTCAACTCCTTCACCATCTTCCGAGTCCGGTGAAGCTCGCTTTCTGTAGCGCCATCAGTGACCGGCGAGATTTGACCTACTTACGACCACGTGACCACATTCTGTGCCACGCGATCAGCATGGCGAAAGGAGAAAAGTGCCAACATGCTCATCCGAGTCCGCCAGTCCCCGTTCTTCGTCTGGCTTCTGGCAGTTCCTCGCGGTACCAGACAGAGCTGTTGGTTTTGTTGACCTCGGATAGATGGTGCCACTAAAACTCTGTATGAACAAAGTTTTGTCGACAATACCAGGTTTTTGACGCATCTATATTTATGTTGATACAACAAGGTTTATAGAAAAATTACCTTTTATCGAACAGGTTATTGCACAACTTGCAATCTTTTTACAAGTCCCCCTTTGGCGTCACACCGCATGGTTCCCATGGCCGCTGCAAGTGGCTACAGATCGGGAAATATTGTAATTTTTGCCTCGTGATAACGCGGTGGAATTGCAACATTTCGAAGGAAGGAGATGTGTTTTCTGTCTTTTGTGACAAGGTAAACAATGTCAAAAGTAGAAGGTGAAAATTCTTTCAACATTTATTCATTGCATAGCTCCCTTAAAGCCGTAGCTTTATGTGGGAACCCTGTACAGGCCTCGCTCGCTCGTGTTAGTCGCACTGTAGCGAGAATGTGGAAGAGAGTTCCAGCAACGAAGCGCGTAGCTCTTGGTTTAATAGTTATAGTTAGCATGCGCGACCAACACCGTTGTGCCGCACAAAGGGCACCCCTGCCACGCTGCATAAGAATGCGAAGTATGTAGCAGTGTAAGAGCCTCATACTAGTGCTATCGCACCTTCATTGCATTTGCCGGTATGTCTAAGCCAAGCAATTTTTGTATACTTTTTTTGTTAATGGAAGGCCAAGATTATATATACTCCGTTTGACCATTGCTAAGGCCCTAGTGAGAAAATAAAAGCGTTGGAGCGAGGCCCGTAATAATCTGCCGTCGGTGGGCTGTCACGTGCTTTGCTTCGTTGCTCTGATTGACTCAACGGGGCCTTAGCATTTGCTCTTTGCCAAGTTATTCTGGAATGGAGTGTGGTGGAAACCACCAAAACCAAAACTTGGATAAAGAGTTGGGGAGAGATTGTGTGTGCTGCTGCAGTTGAATTCGGTGCAAACAATGGTGGGAGAGACGAGCATGTCACACTCACAACACTGCTGCTTCGTTGACTGTTTATTCCAGGGGTTTTCCCAGGAATCGAAATTAGGGGGGGTGTCTAAATTTGGGGAAGGGGGGGGGGGGGGGGGGGGGGTTATTGAGAATAGAGGAGTCATTGCAAATTAAGGGGGTGCCTTCAGAAAAGCAAGGGATCAATAGTTCATTCCATTTGAGGATAAAATAAAAATTCAGGTTTTAATGCAGTGGACTGCTTGTATAGATTGGAACTAGGTCAGTGTTGTTTGTGGTACCTGTGCCACATGTTACTCTTGTAAATGAGAATTTGAAATTCACTTCATTGTTCCTCGAAAACGGCAACATTACTAAGGTTGTATCACCGCATATCGTTGCGCAGGATCGGTGTTGACAATTGTGGCTTGCCTAATAGGGCCACAAGGCGTTCTTGACCAAGCAGAGTTGCATTTTAAAAGCATGTCTATAACCAATGGTGCTTGAAAAGCTTCATGGAGCAAGCTGATAGTGCCTACAATCTAACGTTACATAAGAGAAGAATGTCTGCCACCGCATTGGTGGAGGCTGTAGCTGTCAATTCATCTTTCATTACAGAAGTCACGAAAGAGGATACACTTACAGGGCTCTGTCCCTGTAAGTGTATCTTTTGTGTCTTCTGTATTTCATCTTCAACGTGCTCCCTTCCACATCACCTTTCATTGTCGAGGGTTTGTTCTGGGTGTCGTGCTTGTACGAGCATATCTGTGTACAAGCATGCTCGTAGTTCCGCAACTTGTGAAAGTGACAGGGTGAGCAAAAAACAGATTTTGAACACCAGAGTTTAGTTACATTGGCAATGTCTATGAAATTGGGGGATAGTTTTCTTACCAATTTGTGAGTGCAACAAGTGCTGGCAGCCCATGCTCGTTGAAACCTGTGAAATTTCATTGTAGACTGTGTCTCCAAAATAGTCAGCCCCTCTGTAACGTGCTGCAAATCGTGCAAACGTGGTACGCGATAATCTGCCTTAAGCTACTCAGTCCATTGGCTCGCATCCAGAAAAGGTGCTCGGGCGCTTGTAATCCTTCGCTTTTTGGTGCAAGCCTTTCATACTGTTTAGGGGGTGTTTTATGCGGCTAAAAAGTGGACCTTCCCTTCCAGGTCCCCCTTACCCATATCCGCTGCATGGGGGCGGTCCTGGAGCCCATGGCATGCCGGCAGACCTGAGTGCTTCAGCCTACCCTCAGGGGATGTTGCACAACAGCATCTCGCCAGCACTCAACTCCTACTCCAGAGGCCTGGTGAGTCTCTCCACGACGTCTTTACCTCAGTTTATTGTTTTGTTCATGGTAGGCAAACTCTGGCCTCTCGTTGGTGTACACTGTTGTTTGATAAGCTGTTTGTCTGTGCAGCGCCACTCGTAACGTAGACGTAGGGTTGCCACCTTTCCTAAAAGAAAAAACTGACCATTTAGTGAAGGCGGGGGGGGGGGGGGGGGGGGGGGGGCGTAATTTTGTGAGATTGAACTGGTAAAAAGAAAGACGCAGTAGTGACAGTCTAATTGATGCACGGATTCAATTAATTTTTATACAAACTTCCCAAAGTAAAATCAATTAACATAGATCTCCTAATAGGTCATAGCACATGCTAGTACACGAATACACAACACTAAACTGAATAACATGCATAGAGGCATACCATTTAGTCAAAATTAAAGCACCAAACCCAAATCTTGCTCATCTACTCATCCTGTGCAGCAGGTGAAGCACCAATTATTGCAGTTTACATCAGAATGCCTGCAAATTAAATAATTTTTTGAGTAAAAATTGTTGTAATACACTGGGCATGATGCTCATCATGCAGATTTAGACTGTAAATCTATCATTTTAAAAAAAACGCTGGTTCTGGGGGTTTTGGTAGTAAACGCAGGTATAGACCACAAGCACCGGCATGGGCTTCAAAGCTCATGGTTACTTATAAATTCGTATAAATCCGTGTTTTCATACATCTCCAATCATGAATTACAAAATGACTGTGTCTCCGGATTCAAAATGATGTCTTGCTCACCATTCTCTGATCTCCTTCGGTAAATCGCAAATATTTTCTTCGTGCTACTCTGAATAGTAAACACACCAGACTTTTACGAAAATGATGTCTTGTTTCCGGCTAAATAAACAATTCCGTGTACAAAGAGATTAATGACAAAACTAGATTAGTTTTGTCATTAACTAGCCTGGTTATTTTTACTCACAATATATGCAACTTTGGAACGTTGATACCTTTAATTTACCATGTGAATTAGATATGTTCTTGACAATTATTTAGTTAGTTTTTTTCATGTATAGGTCATGGCACCAAGTTACAACATTGCAAGCTGTGTGCCATCACATCAACTTTACCATTTTTTTTTTTTTTTTAAATTCATCTTGTTTGATTTAGCAACATCAGATAACACATTTGATTAGTGGCTTTGACAGACGTGATAACACTATATGCAGGTCCCCTGGATGCAAGGCAGTCTTTTAGGTCTAACAGCTGGTGTTCTTACTTTTCAATGCTTGGAAGGATTAACTTTCTTTTTTCAGCTTCCAAAGTGCATACCCCGTGCCTGTGCCTCAATTTATGCCAGCTGTCGCTCGAATGCCGTGTTTTGTTCTGCTGTTCACAGGTTGGCTACGAACCTCACCCCTCGATGCGAGGTCCGGGGTTCGGCTCTATTCCAGGTGGAAAACCGTAAGGAACACTTTTTTTCTCCTCCATTTTTTAACTGGTCTTACCAGTATAACAGTTAACAGGCGATAACTTTAAAACATTAACTGGGAAATTGCATTTATTTACTTTTGGCCCACACTGAAGGACACGAATAGTATCTGAAGATCATTTTAACTCTCGTGAATGGCACGATGTTGCCACTCTGGCAATATTACCATCCAAAATCTTTTGATTTTCCACAGCAGTAAAAGCTTTCTGACCTCTGATTAGAAATGACTGACTAAACTTCTAGTCCCCGAAAAGTGGCGACGAATGGGTAAGTAAATATTTATTTAAAAAAAATTAAAAAGAAGGGGTTGGGGCAGCACTCAGGTTTGTGCTGTCCGTCCTCGTTCTCCTCACACTTCCCTTCAGTTCCAAGTGCTTCTGATCCTATTCCTCATTGTGTGATATCTTGCACAAACGCTGTCATTTAAAACAGTGTTGCATATCTTCTGTGCTTCCTTGTCGGTCGCACCTCTTGCTCCCTTCTACTAATAGAAAAGAGGTGATGAGAGCAGATGGCGTTATGGTTCTGTCTAGCAAGCCACACCCATCTAATCCCCCTCGTACTGGTAACAGTTTGCTCTTCTGTAACCACTCTTATGCCATGGCCGTCAAAGAAACACTGAAGCAATGTTTGTTTAGTGGCGGTTAGGTTCGGAAGGCACAGTGAGAAGGGGCTCACCATGCGTTGTGCGCTCTCTTGTTCTAAACTTTTAGGCTCGAAATGACATAGCACATCAACCATCTGTTGCTGCCCAATTGGCAGAAAGACTCTAGAGCTACCAAACCGCTCCCGCATAGGCGTTGTGCATGGCGACCTCTGTACCTCACTGTGCCAAAGAAAGAACTTGGCTTGTTAGCTTCAGAAACTATAGCTCTCCTAAAAAGCTTATTGGGCATTCTAGCAACGGTCGATTTTTGCTACTACGAGAGTGATGGGACATGCGAAAATGTTTGTTGTCTGGGAAACTTTGTTGTTGTGTAATCGGCAAATAGCAATGAGATATTAAGCAGGGAACACATGAGCGATGAAAACGGGTGCCGCGCGGCAGTATTCATAGCAACCGGTGCTGGCGTCACTGCATCACTTCCTCGCGGCGCTTGTATCTGATCAGTTCAGAAAAGGCCACGAGATGCGCCTGCGGTGCGCCGAGCGGCAAGTGCCGTGCGGCGCCCAGTTTCACTGCTCACGCGTTTCATGCTTTAGTTGTGGTGGCACATGGACAAGCTTTATTTTCAGAAATCAATCAGTCTGTACTGTTGGCACTTTTTTCTTCGTGAATCTTCATGAACGATCACATCTGTGTCGGTGTCATTGCCGACAAAGATGTACCGAAATCGTCCGCAATATCTGCCTTCTTTTTTCACTCGCCGCGTTGATGATAACGCGTGTTTTCTCTTTGACAGCGGTGCCTCGCTGCCATTTGTTATGAACAATCTGTTTCTGTTGGAAACTGTGCCACAACCATGTGCTGCCAACACGCCGTCTTGTGCAGCTTTGGCTTGGCTTTGCTCAAAGCCAAGCCTGACGCAAACGAGGGTTTCTTATGTTTCTACCCTTTGCGGGGAGTTTGGAGTATTTGGAGCTCTTGCAGAATGGTCTGCTACTTCGTCATTGCCTTGAAACAATGCTTCCAGCCTCTAAGCAGCAGTCTGCATGGTTCCTGTGTTTTCTTTGGCAGTTTGGCGAGATGGCGAGCTGCAATATTGATCAGAAAGATGATTTCATATTTCTTTAGTGCTTAAATTAGATTATGAAATTAAGTTTTTTTTTGTGAAAACCTCGTAGAAGCAAAGCGGTGTTCGGAAGGTTGTTTGTCGTTGAAGGAATTTTATACAATAACCTTCATGGACAGCTGACAGAGAATCCAAAATACTTTGTTGCTGCGGAAATTTCGTTGAAGCACTGTTTGCTTTAGCAGGATTTGACTCTATAACTATGGCATGAGCATACCCCAGTGAGCTCAGTTGTCTTCGTCATAAAAGAGCTGTGACTGTGTGCACTGTGCTACCCCAACGGGTCATATCGGTTCTGGGAAAGGTGGCATTCACTGTGCAACAATTTTGGTACTTCCAAAAAACACAGCTTAAAATTAATCCTTGACATTCATAACCTACGAACCATGCATTAGTTTTAAGTGCGTTGGCATTTACTGACCTGGTGCATGCAGCCATCTTTCGTTGTACGATTGGGGTTTGGACTGGACTGGCTCGAATTCGTGAGGTCGCGGCGCAATTCCCGTCGTACTCTTTCGCTTTGTTCGTTAGCTCGTTACGTCCACTTTTCCTCGCTCTTGCAGGGGACTACATAAGACGCAGTTCACCGTGCATGCGCCGTTGTGCACCTTCCAAATTATTCGAAAGCGCGCACGCGCGGGCTAGGTCGTCTTGGCTGTAGTGTCGTTTGCTAGCTCACGGCCACTTTGAAACTGTGCTCGCGTTATAAAATGAATGCATCTCCGCATTCCTAAGTGGCGCACACAATGTCCGAAGGTTCAAGAGGCTTTCTGCTCGTTACACTTCAGCGTAAGGTATACATTTCGCGAACGCAGAGCGAACAGTATCTGGATCGTTACGAGTTTGGAATTCCCATCCCTCACTGAGTCGGAACTCCCGCGCTAAATGCCAGTGCATTTCGTCGAGAACCAGCGTAGGGACAACAGCGATTTCTGCGTCATTTTTTTCTCTACTCGCATCCAGAACAACTGTCCATGTGATCTGGTGCCAATGATATGCTGCTATGGTTTATCGGAGCCATGCGCTAAACCTTTTCAACCCGTGTGGTGCATAAATTGCTGTCCTCTGAGTAGTGCTTTCTTGTGTTTGTTGCAGGGCCTACTCCTTCCACGTGAGTGCGGAGGGACAGATGCAGCCCGTGCCGTTTCCGCCAGACGCCCTGATTGGAGCCGGCATCCCCCGCCATGCACGGCAGATCAACACCCTGGGGCACGGGGAGGTGGTGTGTGCCGTCACCATCAGCAACCCCACCAAATATGTCTACACTGGGGGCAAGGTGGGTCTCTCTTTATGTGCTTTTGTCATGTGTAAGTTTATGATTTCGCTTTTTATTAATCAATTCCAAAAACTACTCTGTCAAGTTGCCTTTCACCGATAGCTGAAAACTGAAGTCTAATGCACCTTCCTCAGAAATAGGTAGCTGAGCTAGAGCTTTCAGTGATGCATCAGTTAACCTGCCCATTGAAGGACACTGAAAGTTCACCGAATGACAGCAACGGTGGTGATGGCTGCATGATGAAATTTCAGCACATCGTGTCACCTGAATCAAAATTAGAGATCTGCAGAATGTTTGAAGTATTTTCAATGAAAGGGCTCCGGCCTTAGTCGGCATTGGAGGAAAGCCTGCTACTTAACGCCACAGTTCATAGGTAGTGGGATTAGTTCAGTCGTACATAAAAAAGTGTGAAACAAAAGAAAAATTGAGAGCCTTTCCACCTCGTGAAGAGGGAAGTCCAGCGAAGCTGGCGGTCTGGTTGGATTTGCTATGTTGGGGTTTAGCTATATTGGGGATTTGCTATGTTATGGTTTGGCGCCGCAGTGATATGCGTCGCACTTGCGTTTGGCTTCTCTTGCTCGATCATCGTCGGTGGCATTGGCACGACAGCGCCGGTTGAATTGACGCTGCTGCTCGCATCGATGCGGGCGAGGTCTTGGTCGGGGGGAGTTTGTTCGGCATCCAAAGTTGTTGTCGGGCTGGGAGCAACGGCAATGGCGGTTTTATGTTGGCGGCGTGCCCATTCTCGCTTCTGGGAGCGCTGACGCTCCTTGTACTCCCATTGCTCCTCTTCGGAACCTACAACATGGGTGTGGCTGATGATAAGTCTGAAGTCCAACTGACAAGGACAGTGGCGCGATCTCTACGTTACAAACAAAGGACACACACAATTAGTGGGTAGAGGTAATGACGTTTTATTATAGCGTGGCTACGCCAATCACGGTGCGGGCTCTAGTGCACCACACAGGTGGCGCCGAAGAACGCACGGCATTGCGGAATGTCGGGAGAGAGATGCCGCGCATGGCGAGGAGTACCATATTTACCCGCATAATGAACACACTTTTCTTTCCGAAAAATTTACATATTTGTGGGGTGCGTTCATTATGAGGGGTAAAGTTTTGCATTTACTCACTTTGCGCAAATGTCATTTTAGGTATCAATATGACATGGCAGCTTACTGTGGCACGTCTCCACTGACTGGCGCGCCCACGACCAATGGCTAGTCGTGGGCGCGCCACAGTAATAATGCTCTATTAATTGCAAACCTTTTTTAGGGCGCTTTTGGCATGCTTTTTGCCGAAAAAAAAGCGCGCTACGAAGCTCACTCAGCGCGCAGAGCGACGTGATTGTTCTTAGGCCTAACCGCTTTCACGATATCACTGTTCGAAAGCGGATGCCAGACGGCGGCGTGGTTGTTGACATCAATGCATCCGATAGACGAAGCACGTCCGGGGCTGGGCAATTCCTCAACCCCAGCTTCGCTAGGCGTGCGTGCCGCTCAGTTTCACGGTTGATCACTTCCGCAACCACCCAATTGCAGCCATTATGAGAGCGGCTTGGCTTGGCTTGACTTGGCCTGGCCGCTTGGCAGCAAAAGAAAATTGGTGGACTTCGTGGCTAGCCGGCTAGCGTAAGTTGAACGCAGTTCTAACTCACGGAGCCGAAAATTAAAAGTGTGTTCATTATGCGGGGAAAAAAAAAAAAGTCCAAATATTGATGGTTGTTGTGGGGGGTGTGTTCATTATGCGAGTAAATATGGTATACACGACTTGGGAAGGAGGCGGCGGCGGTGGTGGAGAGGAGTATAAAGTGGGGCATACATCTTTGCATTTGAAAATTGTTGGTCTATGCTCGGTCTGTCTCTGAAGACAATCCGCCAGAACTTAGCCATAGACAGCTTTGCTGTAAAAAAAACACAACTTCATACATTGTGGGGTAGCAGAGTTAACTAGCTGGCTCATGTTATGGTCTCTGAGATTGCCGGCATGTAAAACTGTCCTCCGGCCTTTGCTTTGTTCTGGTAAGACCAGGATTGAGAAAAGTGGTTTCTGGTAGACCACCAGCCATGTTTGCAGGATGTAGCATATCTGGTGCCAGCCTAGCTCAGTATCGGTTTTCTCCACGTTTGTTTCTTCAGCTAATTTTTGTAGCATCCCAGCACTGAGAAAAATGGCTCGTGGATACTGCTTTTGCACTGTGAGGCCCATGTTTGAAGAGGGCTCTCGCTCTTGGGGCACGAGCCCCAAGCACACGGCCTTTGGCGAGCAATCATTTCTTTCAAGAAGCATTGCCACCTGGCAAAGCACAGGAGAAACAGAGTAATCACGCTCCTGCTCGGTGGCCGAACATTTGAAGCAGCCGCAAGAAGGCTTTGCGCTCCAGAAATCTCACTAAAAATATCTAAGATATTTAGAACATTGTTCTAATCTTTTGACCTAAGTAATGTATTGGGCCGAAGCTTTTGCATCTGGCCATCACCTCTGTGCCTACCTCCCTCTCGATATGGTCTCTGCAACGTGCTAGGTGCGGTTTGTCCAACTGCCTGCAGAAGAACCCCGAACTGTTTCGTGGTTACGCTCTGTAGTGCACAGAGCAAATCGAGTGTTGAATCAGCAGTCAGGATCTCACATAGCACGACATTACGAGCAGAACGTCTCGTCATTGATGCGATATGGAAGGGGTTGTGTTTCACGGTTTTGGAATGATTGTGTCATCACTCCCTGCATTGAAGTCCAGATAAACACTTCATGAGGGGATCCCCCCCCCGAACCGATATGACTACTCAAACAAAACTACTTTTTTTGGTGTGGAGTCATTCCTATCAATTATGATCATATATGTTGCTGTAACAATTTGTTCCCAGTCACCTTTTTTCTAGCCAAAAAATGACCGAGCCTTCCAGTATCTTTTATTATTGTTTATTCCGTAGCTTTTGCTGGAGAGGGTGAGGTTATGTCGTCAATTTATTTCACAGTGGGCTACCTCAGGTTATCACATCTGTAATGGAATTTGTGCCATTTTTAACATGCTTTTGAATCTGTCAGGGGTCCATCCAGCAACTGCCGACGTGTTCATAATTGAAACACTGCACCCACTGAGGTTCAAGAATGTTTTCTAAGTTATTGAAAGTGACAAGTGCAGACCCACATTTTTGCACTGCATAAGTTGGTGCCTCTTGGCCATTTGACAACTGTCGAGACCAGTTATAATGAAGTCTGTTATAACGAAATAGCGACTACAGCAAAGCAATCGCGATTTCCCATTCCCTTTTGCACTTCGTTAACCAAAATCAGATATAGCGAAGTGATTTCCGATTCCTGTTGACTTCGTTATAACCGGTCTCAACAGTACACCAGTATTTGCGATGCTAACCTCCAAGCTGTAAAAGGGGGGGGGAAGTGTTTTTTATTTACTTTTTTTTATTTTTTTTTTTACAACAGGGTTGTGTCAAGGTCTGGGACATCAGTCAACCTGGGAGCAAGAGCCCAGTATCACAGCTGGACTGCTTGGTGAGTTCACGTCTTTTGTACATTGCTACTCTTGTTACTTGGATCGAGGAAGCAACTGGCTAGTGCTTTTCTAGCAATTTGTTGTGCTGGCATACATGTAGCTTTTTTCTCTAGTTTGCAGTCTTTAAGCATTTACTAATATACCTCTTCTCTGGTTCGTTTATCTGTGGTCAGCTGTCCATTCAAGACCCTAATTCAGTGGAAGAAATTTGTAGTGTAGTACAAGAACAGGTCGTAGTGATCAGGTTCACAAAATAATCTTTGCCTACCCATCTCAGCTTGTTTCATGTCTGCTCTTTAACCTGGGGGAACTGCATGTGTTCTAGTCCTTTTCTTGGTGTCGTCAGCATAATCATTCAAATGTATGAACTTCTGCGGTTGACACAGGCACGTAGCCAGGGAGGCAGCCCATAAAACCCGGCCCCCCCCCCCCCCCCCCCCCCCCCCCGAAATCTTCCATTTTGCTGGGGCCTCATCTTTCTTCCCCCCTCATACAGAATTTTGTCATGAGCAAGCCCCCCCCCCCCCCCCGAAACAAAATCCTGGCTACGTGCCTGGGTTGACATCTGTTGTTTGGTTTCCTGAGGTACTCATTGAAGGTCATTTTGTGTTGCAGCAACGCGACAACTACATTCGCTCCTGCAAACTCCTCCCAGACGGAAGGACACTAATTGTTGGCGGCGAGGCTAGCACCATCTCCATTTGGGATCTTGCAGCTGTGAGTATGACGCCTGTGCTAATTTTATGCAGGATCCAAGGGAATCTTCGCCTCTTCGAAGCTGAGGCCTCGAAGAGACGAAGATGTCCTTTGATATAAGAGTCGGCAAGCACATTATTGGAGAGTTGTGAGGAAAATTATGTTAATATGTGGAAAATTATGTGACACTAGGCTTATTCAATTTAGCTACACCTCCTGCACTCGGTGCACACTGCTATATTCGATTTTCAAGTGCAGCCAATCCTAGAGCGCATACTGGAAGTGCACTGGCTTGCACTTTTGTGCACCACGCCACACCTTTCTGTACCAGCGTAGGCTGGTGCAACTTAATCAAACGAGCCCAATATTGAAGGATCTTTCAGGGATTTTAAAGGCAACATAGGGCTGTAAAAAAATCTCTACTTGTCACCCTTGAAGTATTGAACTCGGGAATAGTATGCTTGTAATGAAAACTAATGTTATAGAAAACCCTTTTTCGAATCCTGTGGAACTTGCGACGACATCATAGCATATAGTGCCTATTCGAGGGGGTATCTATCGTATCTTGGTTCTTGCAGGTTCGCTATATTTCTTCTCGGCCTCTATTCATCATGCCCCACGATGTGCAGAGGACTTTAAGGCTCTGGGAATTGGGACACCTGGGATTTTCTTTGTCTAGAGATTACCCTACTGGAATTATACATTTAATCTGCAGTCAAAGTGTGTAGACTTTTCTTAAATGTGATTAAAGTAAAAAGAACAAAGAAACTAAAAGAGATTCTTTAGTTGTAAATATCTCCTTTAGCTGCATAATGTTCTTTAAATACCGAGCCACTTTGTAAAATATACATGATCTGTAAAAATGCTGTGTTTGTCCCTCTTTAAGGGTGAACGTTTGAAAGTGAGCTCTCCAAAAACCCGTGTCAACTTTTATTCCTTCGTTAGTACCTGGGGATCAATTGCAAACTTGCATTTTGTCATACTACAGAAAAGGTGTTATCCTTTAACGTCAGCGTTCATGTGAAAGGTAAACAGATCCAAAGGATCTAGTTCTCAGTGAGTGTGTGGTGAATGATGTTGATTGGGGCGAAGCTCTGGTGGTGCTTGTCTGCGTAGACGCTGAGCCGCAGCGTGCCGAGCCTTTCGTTCATTTTCTTCCATGTCAGAAAGAGAATGTGTGGTATGGAACGTGGTTATATACGCATTTGAGCATTTGACCACAGCCCCCTCTTGTCCATTAACGTTGAGCCAATGCATGCAAAGTTTAACGCGATTATATACGCATTTGACTGCAGTGCCCTTTTCTGTATAGACGTTGAGCGGCTACATGCAACGTTTCATCCATGACATCCCCAGCTCTTGAGTTACTACCACATCTCAGAGCCCCCTACTCATCCCGCGGTCGTAGCTGAGCGGTTAAGGCGATGGACCAGAAATCCTCTGGGAGTCTCCCTGCACAGGTTCAAATCCTGTCGACTGCGCAAGCTTTTTTTTTTTTTTTTCCTACACGAGCATGTGAGCACGTGAGCTCACGAGCACCAGCAAGATCGATGTGAGCACGGACGCCGGACGGACGGGTGCTACTACTTCTGCACATGTTTTTGTTAACATGTGTTAACTGTGTTAACACGTATAAACTAAAAGACTCTACTTGAAATTGAGTTTTGGTGCAAAAACCTTGTGGTTTTAGCACGAAGACTCTATTTCAAATTTGTTTCCGCCTTCGAAACAATATTAACGCAGAATGTGTCACAGGACCGGGTTCCATAAGACAAGCATAACGTTACAAAAAAGTGCCACAAAAATATGTCGCAAGGTCACTAGATTGAGCGGACTCCTGAGCTCAGAAAAACTTACACCCAATATGTCGCACAACCTGTGTCCCCCGACTTTATCCATAAAATTAAAGTACCTGTTCAATATTATTTTTTAATTGGATATTTTTGCTTCGAACGGTAGTTGTGGCAATCTCTCGTTAATCTAGAAAAGGTTGGTAATTTTTAAATGTAGTCACTGTAGAAACTCCTGGATTATTTCAAGAACAGCAGGGGTCGGGGATATTTGACAGCCAATCACGGTTGATGCAAGTGACAACACAAGTTGATTGGGTGCCTCATTGTCGCAGCCCACACCACGCATCAAGGCGGAACTGACGTCCAGCGCGCCAGCGTGCTACGCGCTGGCCATCAGCCCAGACTCGAAGGTGTGCTTCAGCTGCTGCTCGGACGGAAACATTGCCGTCTGGGACCTGCACAACCAGACACTCGTCAGGTAGGGGCTGTCTTCACGTACCGCTAAGGCGCCTGAAACCCGTCTCTGGCTGATCTGTTAACTGCAACCTAAAAAACACAGTAGTCTCTCATCATTCAAACTTTAGGAAGCCACGGGTTTTGTTTGAAGGCACCCCTTGATTTGCAATGACTCCTCTATTCTCAGTGCCCCCCCCCCCCCCTCCCCCTAATTTCACTTCCTGGGGAAACTGCTGATCTCTACTTGATCCAGGTTAACCCTCTATCCTTTGCTGGAGCATGCCATATGTCCTACATTAGTTTAACATGTGCACCTCCGATATTTGTATTAGAGTTTACGTGCTTAATCCAATCCAACCGATAAAATGTTGGATTTAATTTAGGACCCAGTCATACTTCTCTTGAGCACAAACTTATACCCTGTAGAAAATGATTTTACCAACAACAAACATGTTGCGACCTTTTGGAATGTTCAAATAAATCTTCAACATTTTATACGTGTTGAACAGTAAGTACTCACAGGGGCCCATCAAGACCTAAATTTGGGTTTGATTGAACAGGTGAATCAATAAATGAAGGCACTGTGCCAAACATCAGGTTTTGCTACCTGTCACTTTTAAGAAAACAAAAGACTATGTGCCAATTACTCTGACTGACGAGTTATGGTCATCTTAGGTGTGTGTCCACTTTAGGCATTGTGTATGTTTCTAAAGCGGTACTTTTATTTGTCATCACATTGCCGCATAAAGCCTTACGACGTCATCTTATTGAGCACTGTTCTCTGCCACTAGTCATAGAGGCTGGAGCGTTTCATTGTGGCACACATCTCTCATTTGTAGTTTTTTCTTCCGTAGCTGCCATTCATTTCACACACTCTTTACTAGTCTCTGCTAAAGCCCCTTTATGCATTTGTGTCTGTTTTACAAGTGGCGTGAAATGCACCAATGCACGTGCCTTGTGCGGTCCTTAAAAGCAAATGGGGGCGCAACACTGAAATGAGAGGCCCCTGGAAGGGAATGTCGGCAGAGTGCTCGCTCGTGGCACGTGTCTCGCAAGTTTTCAATAATTCTACGAGACACAAAGCGGGACTATTATCAAGGGGCTTTAGCTCCTGCAGGCGTGGTCATGCGCGGGCTAAAGCAACGACTTTGTCCGGTCCTTTTGTCCCCCGCAGGCAGTTCCAGGGCCACACGGACGGTGCTAGCTGCATTGACATCTCGAGCGATGGCACTAAGCTCTGGACGGGGGGCCTGGACAACACAGTCCGTTCCTGGGACTTGAGAGAGGTGGGCATGGACACCTCCTGTTCCGTTGCACCATTTGCACGGAGGACCACAGCGGCCGCAAACACTTGCACGCCGCTCAGAAGTGTGCCTCAACAGGCGCATCTCTGAACTCTAGCTGTAGGGTTGCTCTGTACCTTCTTTAGGGTGTGACTACAGCCATGGTTCCAGAGTGCTTGCAGTACGCTCTATTGTTTATTTATGACATGAATTCTCAAGCTATGTTCCTAGGAACCCAGGGGTTCTCCTAGCTCTCAAATATCCTCAGCAGTCGTTAATATAAGTAAAACGTTTTTCCAGTTTATGCACTATTTTGGCAGATGTGTGCCTCCTACTGATGAATGACCCAAAAACTTCCTACTATGCACATTATTGGAGTTTTAGAGTAGGGGGCTCCAAAGCTATAGGGGCTCACCACTGCACATGCGCCAGACCCAAACTGAGTTCTGGGTTGGTGCTTGCATGCACAAACATGGTGGCGCCCTTTTTTTCTTGTTTCCGAGCAAATTAGCAATGGTCACTGCAATATTAGCCACATTCATCAGCAGCGAATGGTGCAGACGACTTTCGCTTTGCCTTATCTCACTCAAATTGCAAAGAATGAGCGGTTCCTAAGCCTAAAGAGACGTGGTGATCGTTGACATGGAAACGTCTGGCTACTTTGAGTGGATTTTCTTGACTTTGTTAGAGCACTATGCATTGGATTGTTTTGGCTGAAAGCAGCTAACAATATTTATACTGATTTTATATTGTCTTTTTCTAGCCGGATGGATTTGGTTCTACATTAAAGGGGTAGTGCAACAATTTTAGTGTTAAAAGAATTGGCACTTAGTTTTTTTATATTGTTTATCCAAGCACAAGTAACCAACAATGCGTCACCTTGCCCTGAAAGACCACTATTCCGGTGCGTAATCGAAAATAAGAAAACAAAATATTTGCCAATCTGCAGCCGCTTGTGGCAGTTAACGGAACTGATGTGTGACATACTCTGGGGGATACACAGAAGTGAACAAAACCTGTCCCCCGTTGCTGCTACACTCGCCGTCACCCCCATGGCAAGCCGTCTTTTAAAGTGTCGATCGCTCCCCGCGACCTTCGACGATGCTAATTTTTTAAAGTCGATAATCGTGGAGGAAGTGGCTGGGGTCAGAGCTGTATATGTAGAGAGTTTGGTCAATGGGAGGCGCGGACATAGCTAGGGCGTGCACCAGACTCAGAAAGAGGGCTTGGCATGCTCTCTTGACCAACCAGAAGCCGAAAAGAATCCCCTAGCGGTGGTAGCGAGAAACCGTTCTGATCAAAGGTCTATGTTCGTAAATGGTTTTAATAAGCGCGTAACAGTGAAGTGCAGTAACTCTTTGTGGTTGAAAATAGGGTGCACTTGTTGTTTTGATCATGATCATGTAGAAAGATGTAAGAAACGAATGCGCCGCTCAACTCTGTTTTTCTCGGACAGTGTGTGACCGCTCGGACGGCAGCTTCCCGGCCCTCGGCGCTTGGCGTACGGATTATGTCGATCGTTCCGCTAGTCGCACTCTTCCACCATGATTTTGTATGGGCGTGATTGAAACATCACGTGTACCATATTTGCAGTCATCGAGAGGTACTCTAATGCAGTTATCAGGTTTGTTTCTTGCGACCACCGCCAGGGTATTATTTCCGGCTTCTGGTTGGTCACATTCAAATTTCTGAAGACGCCCGGGAACACGCCCAGCCCGCTTTCGGCCAATGGCGCCTCCTCATTTGTTTCCTATACTTCCCAACGAATGGCCAAACTCTCTACATATACGGCTCTGGCTGGGGTCTCTGAAGAGAGAACCCAGAGTATGTCACTCAAAAGGCGACGTGGAGTGTTAAGAGGCACTTTGACCTTCCATTTGTTTCATTTATTTTTATACAAGAACTAGCACTCGCAAAAAAATAGTTTTCTGTTCTTTGTTCCATGGGTGACACAGATTAATTTCCACAGTTAATTAGCCGAAGTCTGACCGCCACTATAACTGTCATTTGTAAGCAAAAAGTACTTTTTAAGTGCATACTGTAAAACCCTTAATGTTCGCGAGCCCTCAATTTTCGCGAATTGAAAAATTCGCGAAATTTAAGGGTGCGCGAAAATTTCGGTCCTTAAGATTTTCAATGCAGGCGTCTGGAATTCGCGATTATGTCATCTGTGACCGATTCACGAAAAATAGGGGCCGCGAAAATAAAGGGTTTTACAGTATCTTTTAACTTTTACGCTTGTTAGCCGCATGGGCGATGCAAGAGGGAAATGCAACGTGCTGCGTCGTGAAAGCCCCGAGGCCAGAATCACAAAGATCTTAGGCTATGACAACTTAGCTAAGAAATTTGTAAGTTAAGGACATTGTAAGAAGAGGAGAAATCTGTATTCACAAACGCATTTTTAAGTGAGAGTAGGAAAGCGACATTCTTGTACGGAAACTCTAGAACTTTTTTTCGGTGACCCGCAAACTCCCGATCCCCGCGAGAGCGGGCTGTTACTATGGCGACAGCGTCTTCGGCAACACGAACATCCAGTCGGAGAGCTCTTCATGGTTTGGAGCGCATGGATTTTGAATAACAAACACAGGTGGCCTTTCCGCCAACACTTATGTGGGGATTGTGTCTGTGCTGTGAAATGTCTACGCTACCATGATTTAACAGGCCCGGATGCCGAGGCAGGCATAACCACCTTCTTCAACTGCTACGAACTCGATCGCTACGAACTCAATATAACTGTCGTCGATGCTAAAAGTTAACGGCTCGCGCCGCTCGTTGGCAAAGCGGCGTAGGCGTAGTTAGATAGAAACAAATTGCCGCGGCATTTTTCGCGGCCTCTTGAGATGCAGGAGCGAGCCGACATTCGAGGAGATACATTTGAACTATGAGAGTGTCGGCAGGAACCACGTAAATACATGTTCACACTTGGAGCGGACGCGTGCGTTTGATCGAGGCGCTAGATTCGCACTGTTGGTCTGCGTCTTGGTAAGTGCTTCGGGGTGACTTGACACTCGGCAAAGGAAGGTTGGACCGGCATCGTGTAGCTTCCACAAACGGTATGACACCGTTGATGTACCGTCGTGTCGGAATAAACATGGCATACTAATAGCGAAGTGTATGTACCATATGCTGCAAAAGTGATCCATACGGCGTTTATTTGAGCTCCATGTCACAAAATCAAGGAGATAGAAAAGATAAAAGTCTTCTTTCGACGGCAGCGTTCATCACTGCTGCCTCGGAAAACAAGGGGAAGAGCTTGACCTCTTAATCTAAAATTGAGATCGGCGACCAGATTCAGACTATTTGTACGCGGGAAGGGTCCACCGGGGTGGCGCGGGCATATTCCATTTAGCAATCGAGCCAGCTGGTCGTGGGCAGACAGTCTTGGCCAGGGACTGTCGGAGCAGGTCTGTATTCTGCCGAGCTCGCCAAGCTACCCCTCGGCGGTTGCCTGGTCGGTGGGATCGTTGCCGTTGTAGCTTTTTTCGGATGTCTCTGGATCCAGCGTTCATGTCCGTCGTGGTCAACTTCAAATACTTTCCCTTTTTTTTTTTTTTTTTTTGCTGTTTGAAGTTGGGTTGCACGAGAAGTGTGCATAGAAAAATAAATGCCTGTTGGTCGTTGCAACCAAGTAACTGAGGAACACTGTCGGCCATGTTGATTTGATCTTAGAAAAGTGCGTAAGACAGCTCCGAGGCTGTCGCAGGATTCCATCGTAACCTATGCGAAACTTATGATAATTTCATTTCATGAATACAAATTTGTTCTTACATTTTGTTGTACGTGCATTTTTGGCTAAAGATTGTTTCGTGAATCTGGCCTCTGTTCTATAGACGCCTTTAAGCAGCTGTGCATGGGCGCACCACAACCGACCTTTAGTTTTTGTTTCGTTTTATTCTGTTCACTTCACTTCATGATTACCACATCAGTACAGTTCATTGCCATATTAGATTCTACTGCATCCTCCCCAAGAATTGCCTTTGTGGAGGCTTGTAAACGCCTGTTTCAGTGGCTCGGCATTTTGGTAAAGCAGGGACCACATGAGCGACAAAAACGGGCGCCGCGCGGTGATTCCCATAGCAACAGCCCACGAGGCTGTGAAGTGGACCACCGCCACGTCACAGCGTCCGTGCAAATTGCCATCGAAAGTGCCGCGCGCCACCCGTTTTCATCGCTTATGTGTTCCTTGCTTAAGACAAGAGAGGGTGAGTAATGGTGGCTGTAATCTGGCGCTTGTTTAAAGCATCTATGTGGTGTTTTCACGTGGCGTCAATCCGCCATTTTCTTGTTATGCCCGATTCTTGCTAGAGTAACAAATAGAAATGACCGACGCCGACAAGCCACAAACACAAACAGCATGCATGCGAAGGTAGCTTTGACAGGCTTGCAATCGCTCGTGCTCACTTCACAGGCATCAAGAGACGGTAGGCCTAGCAAAGTTAACATTGCGTGCAAGCTGCACTTGTTTGAGGCTTGTAGGTATTGTTTGATTCTGTTTGTTTCTTTAATGGGCTCTATAGGCTTGTCTACTGGTTTACTACATTAATGCCAAGACTTGGAGGGGATTCCTTGGCTGATCATTGAGAGAGGTTCCTCAAGATCAGCAAGTTTGTGAACCAATGATATCTTTGATGCAAGATACTAGATAAATGGCATTTATCTTGGGAAATTATAAATCAAGAGTGATCATCAAAATTCATGTGCATCACAGATGGGTAGGATCAGTAGAGAAATTTAATCGGAAAACTGGAGGCAGGTTGGTGTCTACAAAGTCACAAAGTTCTGGCTATACTGTATTAGCTAGGGATGCACCTATAATGACATACATATTTTCAACAACGTCTGTGAAAACCATCTGTGTAGCTTTTTCATTGTCAGCATATGGCTGTACATTCATTGATGTTGTTAACACTTTGTCGGCCTTTACGGTGCTGCATGCAGCATTCACTCCATTTGCCCTACATGTTTGCAGAGGGCTGTTTGTAGTAAAGTGCTTGCAGCTTTGAGGCAAGAGTGAATTCAGGTCCTTTTGTTGAGAAGAGAGGGGATAATTGACATGTGGATCTTGGAAACTACACTCCCACAGCCGACCGGCTGTGGAAGTGTAGTTTCTGCAGTTGACCGAGCACAGAGATGGGGCTGTCGAGGCATTCTAATTCCCCCTTTAGGGCCAACGAGGATAGGGGCACTTCCTAGATACCATCTCAAGCTTTCAAACTTCTGACACACCACCTATTCGCAACTCTAAAGGAGGCGACTCCCACCCAGTGGAAAAGGTGCAGAGTGTCAGGTATGGAGCGAGTTAGAACATACACGTCTAGGCTTAGTGTGATATGCGCCACTGGCTTTGGTATAAACAAGGCGTGACGACAAGTATGGTTTCGTGCAAGGAAGCTTGGCGTGTGAGTCTTGCACGGGCACACGGAGAACATTGGCAGGTGCTCTCGTGCCCCGCGAACTTGCACGCAACACTTTAGCACTTTAGTACACGAAAGAGAGAAACGGTGAGCTACCACCCATTCAAGCGTCCCTCGAAATCTGGCGCAAACCTGGTGGCTGTAATGTAAAACATTGGAAGGGGATCATATGCACGCCGTTGGAGTTGCAAATATAATAGGGCAAGAAACACAATGATGCACCGTAACTTCCAAAAGTATAATCATGGGTGTGCAAAATCGTATATCTTTTTTTTCTAAATGAGCCCTTACAACTTGCAGGGTCGTCAGCTGCAGCAGCACGACTTCACCTCTCAGATCTTCTCGCTGGGTTACTGCCCCACGGGCGAGTGGCTGGCTGTCGGGTGGGTGTCACTTCTCTCTCTCTCCCTTTCTCCCCTGGGGCTAAAGAGGCACGCATCCTTACACTCTACCACCACGTGCTGCTGCAGGATGGAGAGCAGCAATGTGGAGGTGCTGCACTGCTCCAAGCCGGACAAGTACCAGTTGCACCTGCACGAGAGCTGCGTGCTGTCGCTCAAGTTCGCCTCGTGCGGCAAGTGGTTCGTCAGCACGGGCAAGGATAACCTGCTCAACGCCTGGAGGACCCCCTACGGGGCCAGCATCTTCCAGGTGGGTTAAAAGCTGCAGCTTGAGGTATGGCTTGTAGCTGCCGCGGTGGCTGCCAGGCAGAGCACTGGCTTCAGATTCTAATCACGGCCGAGGAGCTTGCAATTAGACTGAGGTTTTATGTCCAAACATCCCCGGGGGGAGGAGGAGAAAGGATGAATTGGCACTGCAACCATGACATTTAAAGGGATACTTCAACGAAATTGGAAAGATACCCGTCGTTTTCAGAAATGGGCTGAATGTGATCCATAAGATCCGTAAATGACAATCGCACATTTGTATTTGGAACCTGATGGCTGTATTTTTCGTTATAAACGGCCCACTATGACAAGCGCTTGGAGAGCAGCCAGCGGTGAGCACGTCACATCCGGCACTATCTTGATGTAGTTTGTTCTCTAGCCATTCCAGCCACCAAAGCGGTCCAAGCACGCCAGCGATCCCAGCAACTAACCCCAAAACTGCTTTTGTGTGAATTTTGAGTGACGGGTTAATCTTCTATAATCTTGTAGAGGGAGAATAGCGACATCTGAGACACACAAAAGAGAGTCTTTTTGAGTGGGGAGTTCTTCCCTCCCCTCTTCTCTTGTGCTGGCAGTAGAGCTGTCAAGATGACGTCGGGTTCAAAGCATGTATAGGCCTTTCCCGTGTACTCTCGTACCTAGCCATCTAATAGGCGTATCCGCCGCGGTATGGGCGACGAAAAAATAATAAACCTTCTCAACCTGTAAATAGTAAATAAATAGAGGCGAGACAAAACAAGAATGTGTGACGCTTATGCTTAGGTATATCCCAAATGTCTACCAATGGCGCAGCGACGGCAAAAGAATTTTCGCCCTTACTAGAAGTGACGACAATTCAAGATGGCGGCACCCTTGTGAAAAATGTCCATAATTCTGGGCGAGACAGTTATCGTCACTACCTGTCAAGGTTCCTAGACGGGCATTGCAAACTAGGTTTTAGCGACATCCACCAGGTGCTCTTTGCTAATCGTTTAATTTGTTTTAAAATTTCTTTTCATGTCTCTTTTAACAAGATATTGGTGTGTCCGATTTGAGACTGCTCCTTTGAACACATATTGGTGAGGCGATCGAACTGACAACAAATGGGTCGCTCTGACCCATTTGCTGTCCCCACACCTCGGTGTTTACCCAACATGAGGCCTGTGCACATACCCACAGGCCTTGTGGGCATGTCCATGTCACCTTCTCTTCAATAGAGTGTGGGGCACAGTGTGATATAAAAATACTAACAATAAACGAAGTGACGTTAAGTGCCAGATCTCTCCTGAAAGCAGTTGTCGGAGAATGCGAGCTTGACCCACTTCGGCTTTTGTATGGAGCAGGGCATCGTGCATGCTGCATTGTTCATGCTGGCTGGAGTGGTAACAAAAGAGCCCCTCCTCCCCCTCACCGGAGAACACATACTCCAACCGAACACAGACGTCGCGTTTGGTTATGTCAGCCGAGCGCTGAGTCATTGTTTTTGTTGTCCCCATCCGTGTAGTTCTAAAGTTAACCGCTTGGGGTTAACTTTAGAACCGCAGTCTGATCTCCTCTCCAATATCCCCAATAGACCAAAAAATATGCGCCAAGATTTCGTTGTGGTATCCCTTTAAGGCATTTATGTACTCTGTTTCACCCTAAGAGACACAATGCTTGGAGCGGGCCCACTATGCATGTGCACTCATGAAGTGAAAGCATCGTTCAAAACAACAGTATGCGTGTGCTTGCTGTTTTGACCACCTGGCAGCTATTTGATGCATGCAATGCACATCAAATCATAGAACCTCTTCCCGAATGATCAGTCCAGAGCTGCAAACCCCATGCGCAGTTTTAGACGCTGACATAGCAGTCTTTGAAAGGCCGAGTAGTTCTCGGCACGGTTATAGTTAATACTTCACAACGTCGGAGGTTCCTACGAGTGGCACCATTCTTTTGTTTTCAGTCCAAGGAGTCCTCCTCGGTTTTGAGCTGCGACATCTCTTCCGACGACAAGTACATCGTCACCGGTTCGGGAGACAAGAAGGCAACTGTCTACGAGGTGATCTACTGAGCCAGTTCGGGAAACTTTTCTGCCCCTTCTCGGCGTGTGCACAGTTGTGTTGTTCTGGACCCGCCTCTAATATGTGTGTGTCTGTGTGCGAGCGCACACGTCTCCCACGTGCTCCCACTGTCCGCTCTGTGCCTCCGCCGACACAGGACTGAAGCCTCTGGCTCGATCTGGTGATTCCAGAGACTTGCAACGCCGGTTCATTGAACTTGTTCCCTCCGGTACCCAGGACCGTGTGTGCGTGTGTGTGTGAAAGAGCATAGCCTGCCTGCAGTCCTGTCTCTTCTGAGCAGGGAACTGCCTCAGGAAACATTCCATTGGGTAGCTGTCACTCCCTCGGTTCTCACCACACAAGAAAGATCTTCATTACTGCTTTTTTTTTTACTTTTGTTGTTGAAAGGATGCCTCTGCCCTTTTTATAAGAGCAAGAGTTGTGCCACAAGTCTTCAAACCCTCTGCCAGCTTTTTTGGGGATAGCAGCTGCGTGGCAGTGAAGGACGACGACGTTACGAGCCGATTGGCCAGTTAGTCTGCAACATTTGTGTACAAAGGTGCGGTGCCGGGTCGGCCACCATGAGTAGGGTAAGATGACAATAAAAATTAAGCTGTTCCCATTGTGTGTGTGTGTGTGTGTCAGTGTGCTCGAAAATATGTGTGGTTAAAAGGGGGGTTGATATTTCGAATTAGAATATAAATGCTTGTGAAAATGAACTAGAGCAAGCCTTCTGTCTACGTTTCATGCGAGGTCTGACGTGCAAAATTGTATCCTGCCAGGTAGAGAACCCTTTTCTCACTGTTGTTCATTCCATTTCTTGTGCACTTCATTCCTTTGATGAAAGAAGCTGGTCTAGCAGATGATCTCTGCTGAAAGAAGGAGGGGTTTTTCCCTTCTGAAATGGAAAGAAGGAATAGAGGGGCAATTTTCTCCTCCCTGGCTGCGTGTCAGGCTTCAACGACTACGCCAACTGTTCTAAGAGTATTCTATCGTCAATGGACTAATTCCAATACATTATTTAGAAACTAATAGATGCTGTTTCCCATGCTAAATAAAAAATCTGTGTTGGAAAGTGCTTAAAATACATTGTACTTAAGGCACTTTAAGGTGCTGCTTGAACTACGTTTTTTTTTAACTTTCCAAGATTGAGAAAACTTGTACTTCACTGACAGGGTATTTATGCTTGTCAAGGTTATTTGTACATGCCCAACTACCCAGAACACAATTTGCAGCTCAAAATTTGTTGTTTTTTTTTGGCCCGAAAATCGCCGATAATGCACTGGCCGGTTCGTGTCGCACTCGCCCTCTTTGCCTTTAGTCACGTGTCGTTTTCTAGGGTTTAGACACAACCACCAAAGGAAATCAAAGTCGTGGGTCATCGAAGGCACGCACTCAATACTAAAAATATACAAAATATGACACTCATTTTTTGTGGCTTCTAAAATACTGCAAATGTGCTAATTAAAAAAAAAAAATTTCCACAGTCAAGTGATTTTTAGCAACGCTTTCTCCTTATATTCCTTCCTCCTCAGTCGAGTTTAGGTGTCAGGCAGTTGCGTTCTTTTACTTTATTAAAAGTATCCGTGACGCTATAGCAAAATATTGATTGGGTAGTCTTCTGACACCATAATAAATCGCCTAACAAAAAGTTAAATAGATTAAAAACTAAAAGTTTAATTTTGGTGGGTGTCAGTATCCCTTTAAGAAGGAAGTAAAGCAAAAAGCAACAGCAGAAAATATCAGTCATGGTATCAATACTGCGATACCGCCATGAATGTCAACAACGAATATATGAGAACTGGCCGGTTTGAGTCACGTTAACTCTCTTCTCCGTGGTTATGTGCCGTTTTCGATGGTTTGGACAACCACCAAAGATAATCAAAGTAATAGGTCATCGAAGGCACTTGCTCAATACTAAAAATAGACAAAAAATACTATTCTCATTTTTTGTGACTTCTAAAAAGCTGCAAATACGTTAGCAAAATATTGATTGTGTAGTTTTCCGACACCATAATAAATCGCCTGGTCAAAAATAAATATTTTTGGGGGGTGTTAGTGTCCCTTTGGGACACTGACAGGGTATTTATGGTCGCCAAGGTTTTGATCTGTATATTACATACGAAATTCGTGTTCTTTCCGCCCGAAAACCGCCGATCGATAACTGGCCGGTTTGAGTCGCGCTCGCTCTCTTCTCCGTGGTCACGTGCCGCTTTGTAGGGTTTAGACGTTTAGACACAACCACCAAATATAATCTAAGTCGTGGTTCATCGAAAACGCGCAGAGTATTAAAAATAAAGAAAAACTATATAATACTTTTTTTTTTTTTTTCGTGACGTTGCGGCAGTTATTGTTTGGATATTCTGAATAGTCGTCTTGCAAAAAAAAAAAAAAAAAAACACATTTTGGGGGCTGTTAGTGTGACACCCCCAAAAATTCATGTTCCGGTGCCAGTGTCCCTTTAAAGGGGTCATGAAACGCTTTTCCAACTTTTTCCTGTTTAGCTTTCCTCCTCAACTCATAAATCGCGCATTCCAGCAAACAGTTAAAGAAGACGTAAAGGGGGAGTCCCCTCTTGCTCGCACTCTCGTTTGCGTAATCCGGACACATCCATTCTCCCCCTAGAAGATTAGCCCGTCGCTCAAAATTCAGACAAAAGTTGCTTTCCCCACCCCGTTCATTCCGAAGCTGACAGTGCTGTTGAAGCTACGTGCTCGTTGGGCCGGCCACACTTGCCACGTGGGCGTGGCAAATGTGGCTGCAGAGAATGAAGTCAGGTGATGAAAGGGAGGCGGCTGATTGGTCCGGCAAGCGCGTAGCTTCCACCACAATGTCAGCTTAGGGGTGAAGGGAATAAGTGAGGTCCAGTTGCGTGTGACGTCAGTTTGGACCCAATAACGCGCTTTTGGGACCGCGGATGTATCACCGTGAAAAGGCAGAGAGGTTGCGAAGGAGAGGAGGTACGAAATAGTCCGCTCTGTTTTCAAATTTTCGCACTGAAAGTCAGGCTTTTGACTCTCTACCTTTTTTCTTTTGGTCCACTGAACGATGTGCTATTAGTAAAATCCCAATCTAAAATGATTTATCCCATCCCAAAAATCGTTTCATGGGCCCTTTAAGAAACACTAACACCGGTAATTTTTTTCCCCGTAACATTGATTTTAATACTTTTTTTTTAACTCCGGTATTTTTTATTTATTTTTTTTTTTTTTTTTTCGATGTGAGGGTTACGACGGTTTTTAGTGAAGGAAGTGTCCCTGAATTTCGAGGTGTCAGTTTTGTTTCAATGTATTGTGCAGTTTCGTAGATATCCTATCTCAAAGTTTCGTTTTGGGGGCCAATGACGAAACCGAAACTACCGGCTCGAGCATGCTAGCAACCCTTGTGGTCAGCTGCATGGCCATCGTGTGACGCAAAATTCGTAGACAGACATGCTTTGCACTGACGTCGCATCATGGGGGAAGCTGCTTTTGTACAAATTTTGAGTGACTGATTTGACTGTTGAGTGACTGTACGAATTTCGAGTGATCAATAATCTTGTGGAGGAAGAATAGCGACCTCTGGGCTCGTCTGGGACACATGAAGAGAGTCCCGCTGGGAAGGGAGCTCTTCCAACACCACTTCTCTGGCGTCATGGGATCCAGGTGCAAAGCATGTATTGTGTTACCGCAAAATGTACTACTGGCCTAGTCGCGAGAGCAGTTCTGATCAGTCAAATAAGATGCTACGGCTGTATTACTCCTTTGCTTTGCAGATATTGAACGTCTGCAACAAATATTAATACGCATTCATAAAGTTGCCGGCCAAAAAGCACGTTTGCCACGATGAACGCAGGCTCGGAACGAGCCCCCACTTCTGAGGGGAATTTCAATTATTCTTGGTGTGCAACGCGCGTTGCAGCAGCGCTCTGAAAGATGATCGCGTAAGCGCACGCTGAGCAGGAACTGACTGAACTATAGTCGCCAGTTAATTGCACCATCGGCACCACTACGAGCTTGAGGCGAGCAAGTAGTCAATAATCTTCGTGCGGGATCGTCGAAAAGCACTTGCGAACTACGGCCGCTAAAACAACTTAACAAGCAGAAATCGTTCGCTGGGGCGGCTGAAAACACGGCGAAGGAAGTGGCATTACGAACGAGAAACCTTGAAAACGAAGATGGAACAATATTGCTTGACGAACAGCCAATCCGCTGAATGCTTGCTGAGAAGCATTTTTAATATCGATTTTAGAGTGGATCGCGGTTTCCCATTGGTGTAATTTTTTTGGCAGTGCTCGTATATAGTGTTCGTAAATCGATATCAGTCAGTTACTTTGGTTCGACTTTTGACCGGAGTTGCCATGCGTATGTTAAGTAAAGTATCACAAAAAAAAAAAAAATTACAGCGTTTTCTTTACCGCAAAAATAAACTATGCATCGCCGAACGCTCATTCTCCGCCCAAAGGTAACGCTAGAGGTCACAACCAGATGCCAAAGTTTCAGCCCGATCCGATACCCTATTCAAAAGTTATAAAATATTTTCTGAAAATTTCTGGTGCCATAGAGCCCCATGTATTCGAAACTCCGTCGGCCGCCATTTTCCCATTGAAATTTTCAGAAAATCACTTATTACTTTTGATTAAGTTATCGGATCGGTCTGAAACTTTGGGATCTTGTTGTGTCCTCTAGCGCCACTTTTGGACAGAGAATGAGCGTTCGGCGATGCCTAATTTATTTTTGCAATAACATTTTTTTTTACATTTTTTATTTGTTCTTTGGTACTTTCCGAAGAATGTACAGCTCCAAACTTAAAAAAAAAAAAAAAAAAAAAAACTTTTTTCTTAAATTTGGTCTTGTTAAATTTATATCGCAAAATTATGATTGTGGCCACTTGACTTTATCCAATATACGCCGCCATTTCCAAAAATAAATAATGCACTACCTAATGCACCCCCCCCCCCCCTCCCCGATTACCCCTGTGACAATGCATGCCTATATAAAAAAAAAAAAAAAAAAACGTTTTTAGGAGAGTGGAAAGGCGTCATGAAAGATTGTGTAAAAAAGTACTTGTAATACTGGGGAAGGGGCGGGAGGAGGAAGGGGGGATTTCGAGGGTATTATTTTACTGTTTTCGTCCGAAACACAAAATGTACGCCTCTCAAAACCACGAGAATTTTTATTCTCGTGGTTTTCCCGTTCCCGGGAAAACCACGAAAACCACAATTCCCGTTCAAATGATCACTAAAGTAATCTTCAAATTTTGTGTATTGTTAAAAAGTATTGGAAATTTCTGATGCTAGCGCCTCGCGCGATAGTGGCGAGGAAGGCAACCACGGAGGGCGCCTATGACGTCACGTTGCCCTGATCCTGGGCAAGTTTCGGTGATTTCCACCCTAGAGCTCACGAGAGAAGATGAAACGGCACCTTTAGGCTTTTCTTTCTTTTTTTAATGTTTTTTTTTTTAATGGTATTGCAGATTAAAAAATGAAAGACGTTTACACAGTGGCGTATCAACTTGTTTTTCAGTGGTGGCGCATAAACTTGTTTTTGAGTGAAGGGGGAGGGGGGGGGGGGGCAAACCAGGCTCCCCCCCCGGGGGCCGGGGAGCAGTGCCCTTGGTATCCCTTGGGCGCTGCAGCCTGCCGGC